AAAAGAAATCCCATTTCCATGAGAAGTCTCCTCATTTCCCCCAGCCCTCCTTCCCCATTACAAGCCCGTGATCACCATTAATCTACTTTCTGTTTCTATAGATTTGCCTGTCTGGACATTTCACATGAATGGAATCATACAGTATGTGTGTGGTCTTTTGTACTTGGCATCTTTCACTGAGTATAATGTTTTCAAGGTTCGTCCATGTCGTAGCATGGATCAGTGCTTCATTCTTTTTTCTGGCTGATTAATGTTCTATTATATGAATATACCAGGTTTTATTTATCCACTGATAGACATTTGGGTTGTTGCCACTTTTTTGTCTCTTGTGAATATGCTGGTATGGGCGTTTGTGCACAAGTCTTTGTGTGGTTGTATGTTAATTCTCTTGGGTCTATACCTAGGAGTGGAATTCCTGGGTTAAATGATAACTCCGTGTTCAGTTATCGAGGTACTGCCAGACTTTTTCCCCCAGCGGCTGCACCAGTTTACTTTCCCACCAGTAATGCATGAGGATTCCAATTTCTCTCTTCTAACATAACTATCCTACTGGGTGTGAGGCGATATCCCATTATGTTTTTTTTTTTTTTAATTTTTTATTTATTTTTGGCTGCATTGGGTCTTTGTCGCTGCACGTGGGCTTTCTCTAGTTGCAGCGAGCGGGGGCTACTCTTCGTCGCGGTGCGCAGGCTTCTCATTGCCGTGGCTTCTATTGTTGCAGAGCACGGGCTCTAGGTGCGTGGGCTTCAGTAGTTGTGGCACGTGGGCTCTAGAGCGCAAACTCAGTAGTTGTGGCGCACAGGCTCAGTAGCTCCGTGGCATGTGGGATCTTCCCGGACCAGGGCTCGAACCCATGTCCCCTGCATTGGCAGGCAGATTCTTAACCACCGCGCCACCAGGGAAGCCCCCCATTATGGTTTTGACTTGCATTTCTCTAATGGCTAATGATGTTGAACATCTTTAAATGGGGTGGGGGTGTGCATCTAAATTCTCATCTGTTTCCACTTGGCGGATGGGACCACTGTTTTTCACTGCCTTGTCTTTCATTTTCCCCCAAACACTCTCCTTCCCTCTTCCCTGCCTGTTTTCTCTGCCCCTGCTTTCTGTGTCTTGACTGAGTAGTCTTTGTGTACAGAGACCTCCAATCCTTCTTGCTGCCTGTCATTCAGGGGATGAAATCTGGGCTTCATGGTGGCCTGGGCTCATGCCCTTCTCTGGGGCAGCATGCAGTGTGCAGTGTAGGTGGTTGGTGGTGTCAGCCTGCCCAGTGGGGACCCAAGCTCCACCCCTTACTTGCTGTGTGACTTGGGGCCAGTGCCTTTGCCTCTCTGAGCTTCAGATCCTTGAGGTTAGTGGTGAAGCCCATTTCTTTCCATCTTCCCTTGTGCTTTCTCCTTCTTTTCTTTACTAGATACTTATTGAGCATTTTGCAATTCACATCCCCAAATGGGAGTAACATGTATCCCTTAGCTCACTTATTCAGCAGTTATTTACTAAGTGCCTATTGTGTGCCAGGCACTATTCTAGGAGGGGGGATATAGCATGAACAAGATAAAAATCCCCGCTGTCTGGGGACTGACTGGCTGGTGGGGGAGACCCATGATAGGACTCATCAGAAGGTACTGAATGCAGTGGAGAAAAAGGGAAAGTGGGTGGAGAGGGCTGGTGGTGCGAGTGGTCGTTTTAACCTGCCCTCACTGAAAATGTGACATTTGAGCAAAGACCTGAAGAAGGTGAGGTGGAAGCCCTGTAGCTATCTGCAGGAAGGGTGTTCCTAACAGAGAACAGCAAGTGCAAAGGTCCTGAGGCAGGGAAGTGAAGATACTTGCCCCAATTCACAGCTGGTAACTTGTGGAGTCACAGTTTGAACCAGGCAGTCTGGAGTTAGAGTTTGTTTTTGTTTTGTAATGAACTTCATTAAGGTATAATTTATATTTAATGTGATACATCCATTTAAAAATGTTTTTAATTTAATTTTTTTAATTGAAGTGTAGTTGATTTACCATGTTTCAGGTGTACAGCAAAGTGATTCAATTATACATATATATATTCTTTTATTTATTTATTTTTGGCTGCATTAGGTCTTCGTTGCTGCGTGCGGGCTTCTCATTGTGGTGACTTCTCTTGTTGCGGAGCAAGGCTCTAGGTGCATGGGCTTCAGTAGTTGTGGCTCACTGGCTTCAGTAGTTGTGCCTTGCAGGCTCTAGACCACAGGCTCAGAAGTTGTGCCACACAGGCTTAGTTGCTTCGTGGCATGTGGGATCTTCCCAGACCAGGGCTCGACCTGTGTCCCCTGCATTGGCAGGCGGATTCTTAACCACTGCGCCACCAGGGAAGCCCCATATATCTATTCTTTTTCAGATTCTTTTCCATTATAGATTATTACACGATATTGAGTGTAGTTCCCTGTGCCATACGGTAGGTCCTTCTTGTGTATCTATTTTATATATAGTAGCGTGTATCTGTTAATCCCAAATTTCTAATTTATCCCTCCCTCCAAGTGATACATCCATTTTAAGGGTACTTATTGGATGCATTTTGACAAATCAGTACTATTGTGTAACCGCCTTCCCAGTCAAGGCACAGAACATTTGCTAGCATTTGATGTAAGTAGAATCACACAGCCTGTATTCTTTGGTGTCTGGCTCCTGCCACCCAGCACAGTGATTTTGAGGTTCATGTATGTTGCGCATCTTAGTGGTTCGTTTCCTTTTGTTGCTGTGCAGTAATTCCATTGTGCAGATATAATACATTGTGATCTGTTTATCCCTTCGGCTGCGGGTGCACCTTTGGGCTGTTGCCAGTGTTTGGCCATTACACACGAAGCTGCTGTGAACATTTGGGTACTAATCATTGTGTGACATATGCCATCCTTTCTCTTGGGTAAATACCTGGGCATGGAACGGCTGGGTTGGATGAGGATACGTTTAACTTTATTAGAAACTGTCAAGCCATTTTACAAAGTGGCCGGAACATTTAACATTACCCCATCCGTGCATAAGAGTTCCAGTTGCTCCACATCCTCACCACCACTTGCTGTTATCAGTCTTATAAATTTTCAAATGGGTATGTAGTGGTGTCTCATTATGGTCTTAATTGAAATTTCCCTCATGACTAAAGATGTCGAATATCTCATTGGCTTATGCGCCATTTGTAGGTCTCCTTTCGCTCGTTTTAAAATTGGGTTGTTGGTCTTCTTATTGTGTTGTAGTATTTCTTTATATATTCTGAATATATGTCCTGGTCTGATATATGTGTTGTGAACATTTTCTCGCAACATGTGAGTCCATTCTTGTTATTTGCAGTAGGTGTGTTCTGTAAAGTTGACAAAGTCACCACACTGGGGTCTTGTCAGAGATCCTGCTGGCTTTCCAAGTGGCAGGTAGCTAACTGAGGCCCCAGCTGATGTGCCGCTGTGGTGATTCCCCCCACCAGCTTACATCCCAATCCAGATACCTCTCAAGACCACCCTGTCTCTTCTGCAAGCGCCCTGGCATCCCTGTTCCCACCTGCTGCCTCCTCCGGCGCTTCTCTTTAAATGGCTTTATGGGATGTAATTCGCACACCCTCCAGTTCACCGGTGGCTCTTCGTATATTCAGAGTTGCACAACCATCACCGCAATCAATTTTTGAACATTTTCATTCCCCCCTGAAAGAAACTGGGAACAGTCCCCTGCCAGGTGGCCCTGGACAGACAGGCAAGGGAGAAGAAGGTTGAGGAGGCCCATGTCGCTGGAGCTGAGTGGAAAAAGGAGGGAGGGAGGAGGGCAGTGGGAACAGGGCCAGTTCCTATGTGGCCTGGTGGGGCCTCAGTGAGGACTTTGCTTTGACTCCGAGTGAGACAAGAACTCTGCTCAGATTCGGGGCAGAGGAGGGACAGGAGGTGACTCAGGGTCAAACCAGATCCCTAGACTGAGAGTGGGGGTGGGGAGATCCCTAAACTAGGAGTGGGGGTGGGGAGACTGTTGAGGCTGCTGAAGAAATTCAGGCATAATGTGGGTTCGGGAAATATATTGATTTTTGAATTGAATGAAGGAATGATTTCAGCAAAGCAGTAGGAGGCATTTGCTGAAGCAAATGTGCAGGGAAGAGGGCTAGAAGGTCAGTCCCAGCCACACTCCAAAACCAGCCTCTCATGCTTCTGCCCGCTAGAACAAGCAGGGTATCGGGAGGACCCAGCCACTTAACAACCAAAAGCCCGGCTTCCAGGCAGACCTACTTTGTGACCTGGGGCACGCTCAGGGGGGTGTTGCCTCAATTTTCATTCTGTAAAATGGGAATAATCAAGTGCCTGGGTGTGGTTAGTACATGTTTGGTAGTTTTCTTTTTAATTTTGAAATAGAGTGTTCATACAGAAGAGTAGAAAACGTGTCTTCCACCTAGCAATGATCAACTAACACTCTCACAGTTACTTTTTTTTAAAACAGCTTTATTGAGCTTCAATTCACATATCATACACATTCAATTCACATATCATACCCATTCGCAGAGATGTGTAACCATCACCATTTCAATTTAAAACATTTTCATCACCCCCAAAATAAACACTGTGCCCCTGAGCCATCACCCTCCCCCGCCACTCCCATCCATCCCAGGCCTGGCAGCCACTGATCTACTTTCTGTCTCTATGGATTTGTCTATTCTGGACATTTCATATAAACAGAATCATATAATATGTGGTCTTTTGTGCCTGGCTTCTTTCACTTGGCATGATGGGTTTCTCTGTTCATCCATGCTGTAGCATGTGTCAGTGCTTCATTCCTTTTCGTGGCTGAGTAATATTCCATTGTATGGATGGACCACATTTTGTTTCTCCATCCATCAGTTAATGGGCATTTGGATTGCTTTTACCTTTTGGCCATTATGAATAATGCTGCTAGTGAACATTTGTGTACATGTTTTTCAGTGCATACATATTTTCATGTTTCCTGGGTAATGTAGCCAGGAGTGGAATTGCTGGGTCATAGGGTAACTCTGTTTAATCCTTCGAGGAGCTGCCAGACTGTTTCCCACGTGATCACACCATGTTACATTCTACCAGTAGTAGATGAGGGAGACAGTTATTCTTTTGTATTCTTCTGTCTTCTCCCCCTTTGGGGGAACTTTCTGTTGAATTACAACATGGAGAAAAGAGCACACATCATAAATGTCCAGTTGGATGAATTTTTTGCACATTGGACACACCCATGTAACTGGCTCCCAGATTTAAAAACAAAACACACAAAAAACCCCCAGAACATGACCCCCTCCCAAAAGATGCCCCAACCCTTTCTGGCCCTTCCATATGCCCCCCACCCCTCCAACCCCCAGGGAACCACCATCCTGATTCTAACTCCATAGTTAAAAGTGGGTGTGTACTTTACACAGGAAACCATACAGTGGTGTTTTCTTTCACTCAACGTGATGTTTGTGAGATGATTCCATGTTGTATATACCAGTAGGTTTTTCCTTTTTCATTGTTGTGTAGTATTCCATTATGTGATGGACCGCAGCGTATTCATGCATTCTTCCGTTGATGGGCATCTGGGTTGTTTCCAGTTCAAGGGTGCTGTGAACATTCTAGAAGGTTCTACATCTGCCCCATTATTCATAAGGGTGGAATTAGAGTAGGCCCAGGCTCTGTGTGATGCCAGGTAGAAATTATCTGTAGGCTCCCCTCCCTTCTTGACGGAGGTGTGCCCCCAATCGCATATTCTAGAACCCTCCTTTCTGAGTGAGGGATGAAAGCCATCATGGCAGTCCCTGCTGCTGGTGTTGGTTATTTAACTCTTGCTCTGTGGACTTGAGAGATGTTGTCTTCCACAGCGCCTGTGAACAAGCCGTCCACAGTGTCAGTGGGGATGCGGGCGTTGTCTGGGGGTCCTGCCCCTGTGGAGGGTTCCTAACCAGCTTGACAGGGTTCATCGGGGTGGTGTCTGTACACATTCTGCACACTTGCTTGGAGTTTTTATTGTCTTCCATATTGGGGTGGCTCCTGGCATTTGGGGCAGGAGCCACTGGTGTAGACTGATTGGATTAATTTGCCTCCTGGGTTGGTGTGCAGGGTGGGGAGGGTGGTAAGTCCTGTGGAGCATCCCCCCACTGTCCTGGGAAGATGCGCCCACCTCCTCTCTCTCTCCGTGTCTGACTGTCTCTGAGACGTTCTCTATGGCATCGGCCCCATCAGCACCTCTGCTCAGTTCTCCCTTCTCTGAGCAGCTTTCTGTGGTGAGGCCCAATTTCACCCTCCCCCACCTGTGACCTTTCACCTCCTCTCCCATCTGCCCCTGACAGGTTCCCTCTGGGCCCCTGGGCCTTGCTCTCATCCCAGTGGCCGGTCCCCCGTTGTGAGCCCTGCCCTGTGGGTCCCTGGTCAGCCTGTGATGTGTCCCCCCTGCCCACCATGCCCTCCCCCAAACCTGGTCACACACCTACTCTGTTCAGAATCAGCTGTGACCACTGAGAATGGTGCCCCTCTGTCATTCAGTCCATGTTTACACAGAGCGAACACAACAGACCAAAACCTGGGCTCACCCGCTCCTCCTTGCAGAGTCAGGCAATAGATAAGATAAATCAGAGTCACGCGTGAGATAGTAATCAGAGCTTTGAAGTAAAGCAAAGCAGGAGAGGGAGGAGGAAGTGCTGGGTGAGGGGGTGGGGATCGTGACTGCCAGCAGAATCAGGTTGAGCCTCACCGATCTGGTGCAAAGGTCCTGAGGCAGGTGTGTGCCTGGGGCATTGGAGGAATATGGAGCAGGCTGGTGTGGGTGGAGGGAAGTGAAGGAGGGAGAGAGGGTGAGAGGTGAGGACAGAGGTGGGATGGGGGCAGATGGTCACAGTAAGAACTTGGACTTTGATTCTGAGTGAGGCAGGAGCCATGGAAGAGCTCCGAGCAGAGGAGGGACATGAGCGGACTTGCATTCTAATATGATCCCTTTGGTCACCATGTGGGGATGAGATTGTAGGAGAACCAGGGCAGAATCAGGGGGACAGAGGGGACAGAACCTGGTTGATGTTTGTCACAGCCAAAAACCAACATCACTATGAACCCAACTCCAGAATTGATTCAGATTTCCTTAGTTTCCCCCTAATGTCCTTTTTCTGTTCCAGGACTCCACCTAGCACACCACCTTATACGTTGCGTCGTCATGTCTCCTTAGACCTCTCTTGGCTGTGACAGTTTCTCAGACTTTCCTTACTTTTGATGACCTTGACATTTTGGGGGACTACTGGCCAGGGAATTTGGAGAATGTGCCTCTCTCGGGATTTGTCTGATGTCTTTCTCGTGATTAGACAAGGGGTTAGGGGTTTGGGAGGAAGACCACAGAGATAAAGTGCCCTTCCCATCTTATCACATCAAAGGTACATACTATCCACTTGACTTATGATGGCTGACGCTGACCTTGATCGCCTGGCGGAGGCCACAATACTTTTGATTCTACACTCCTGGCAGTAAAAATGGTAAGCGTGTGCCTAATGCATATCTATTTACATGCATCCATTCATTTTAATCCTCACAAACCTCTGAGGTGGGCGCTACTTTTAATCCCATTTTATAGAGAAAGAAACTGTAGGAAAAGGGAGGCTGAAGTGACTCGCCTGAGGTCACACATCAGTTAAGTGGCATTTGAGCCCAGAGGTCTGGTTCCAAAGTCCAGGCCTTAACCATCACCTGTTTTTTATAAACTGTATACGTACATGACTCCACTTTGGTACATTATTTAAAAAATACATAAAAATGTACATTAAAAACAGGTGAGGAAGATTTTTAAAAATCAAACATTTTAAATAGCATTATATTTATCAATAGTCATTACTAATGATAAAACCTAAAGTCTCTATTTTGAATGATGTTCTTGATAATTAAAGTTTCAGTCAACTTTTTGCCAGTTCTGCTGAAAACATCACTGATTTTACTTTTTTTTTTTTTTTGGCTGCGTTGGGTCTTTGTTGCTGCGCGGGCTTTCTCTAGTTGTGGCGAGCAGGGGCTACTCTTCCTTGCGGTGCGCGGGCTTCTCATTGCAGTGGCTTCTCTTGCTCCGGAGCACGGGCTCTAGGCACACGGGCTTCAGTAGTTGTGGCACATGGGCTCAGTAGTTGCGGCTCGCAGGCTCTAGATCGCAGGCTCAGTAGTTGTGGCACACAGGCTTAGTTGCTCCATGGCACGTGGGATCTTCCCAGACCAGGGCTCAAACCCGAGTCCCCTGCATTGGCAGGCAGATTCTTAACCACTGCGCCACCAGGGAAGCCCCTGATTTTACTTTTTAATGTGGCTTAAAAAGAGCTTACAATAGGAACAGCTTACAATAGGAATGGGACCATCGACTTTATTTTCTGCTTACATTAACTGTGTTTTCTTTTTTTTTTTTTTTGCGGTACACGGGCCTCTCACTGTTGTGGCCTCTCCCGGAGAACAGGCTCTGGACGCGCAGGCTCAGCGGCCATGGCTCACGGGCCTAGCTGCTCTGTGGCATGTGGGATCCTCCCGAACCGGGGCACGAACCCGTGTCCCCTGCATCGGCAGGTGGACTGTCAACTACTGTGCCACCAGGGAAGCCCTGTGTTTTCTTTTTTTGAGATAACATTCACATAGCATAAAAATTAACCATTTTGAGGGGGAAGGGATAAATTAGGAGTTTGGGATTAACAGATACACACTGCTATACATAAAAGAGATAAACAACAAGGACCTGCTGTGTAGCATAGGGAACTCTACTCAATATTTTGTAATAACCTATAAGGGAAAGAGCAACTGAAAATTTATATATATATATCTGAATCACTTTGCTGTACACCTGAAACTAACACAACATTGTAAATCAACTCTACTTCAATTTTAAAAAGTTAACCATTTTAAAGTGCACAGTTCAGTGGCTTTTAGTACGCTAATAACGGTATGCAACCATCACCTCTATCTAGTTTCCTGCCAACCCACCTATCTAGGATAATTTCGTTTGCCCAAAAGGAAACCCTGTACCCATTAAGCAGTTTCTCTTCGTTTCCCCTCCCCCAGCCCCTGGCAACCCCTTATTTGCTCTCTGTCTCTATGGATTTACCTTTTCTGGACATTTCTTAGAAATGGAATCATACGATAGGTGACCTTTTGTGTCTGTAGCTTATGGTTTTTAACCTTTTGGTTTCTTTGTGAGTCCTTTCTTATGCCCTCTGTCTCTTTTTGTGAGGATGGTTTCATTAAAAGTTGATAACGTGATCTATAAGTCAAGTTATTTGAGAATGTATTGTCAAGCAAAGGGACATCACGGTCTCTGCTTTGGGGACCTTGTACCCTTCTGAGGCACCTTGCTGCCTGGACTGTCCATCACCTTCTGCCCAGCATCAATCCATCTGTTGATTACCTGTCCAGCTGAATATGTTTTATCTCGGAGATTAGGGAATTAATAGAAATTGACATTTTACCAATGGAAACGAACAGAGAGCCCAGGATGAGTATGGACATCTGGTCTGAGGCCAGAGTGGCCAGTGGTCACCTTGATGGGGAAGGGAGAGACTTAATAAACCAAGCTGGGGACCAAAAACTAGTCATTCATTTGGAAAGAGATGAAATGGGATCCCTACCTTACACCATATACCCCCAGATGGTTTAAGGATTCAAAGTCAGATGTAAACCGCCAATCTCAGTTTAGACGTCGGGGAAAGGCCAGGTTCTGAAACAAGACACACAAAGAGCTGCTGGGTGAGGAAGATTTGAAGGCCTTGCATATCTCAGCTATTTTTCTCTGTCTCTGAGCAGCAGCCCTCCCGGCATGGTCCTGGGCGGGAGGCCAACCCCTCTCCTAATAAGATAATTAGTAGCTTTGGGACCGTCGGAATACCTTAGCGAGGAATGGCCTTAGCTGGAGCAGCTGCTTGATCAACCAGGAGAGCTGGTGTAAGGGTGCGTGTGCACTTCACATCCTGCCTGGCTGCCCACTTTTAGCTGCTCTGCCCTGCTGTCCGGCTCAGATTCCAGCGGGCCCTTGACTCTGCTCTTTCCCCTACACCTCCTGGTCAGTCCGTCTGCAGACCCTGTTGCTTTGCCATCAAATCCAGACTCCAACCACTTCTCGCCTCTTCCCCTGCCACCATTGGCCTCCTCTCTGGGCTCCCTGCTCCCATCCTCGCCTCCTGCAATTCGTTCTCCACTCAGCAGCCGGAGGGATCCTGTGAAAACCCAAGTCAGGTCATGTCCCCGGACTCACCCAGAATAAAAGCCCGAGTCCTCACCACGGCCCACCAGGCCCTCTGTGGCTGACCCTCATCGTCTCCTCAACCCCGCTTCACCTCCTTGCTGTTGCTCAAGCATCCCCAGCATGTTTCTGCCACAGGACCTTTGCATCTGCTGTTCCTTCTTCCTGGACCACCCTTCCCTGGGTGTCTGAATCGCTCCTTCCCTTCCCTCCTGCACATCAGCTCAGACTCCCCTTTCTCTGTGAGGCCACCCCAACCACTTTCGCTAAAAATGCACCCGCAGCCCTCCCCGCCCCCTCCCCACAGCACCTTTCTCCCGCCTCCTTGCTTTCCTCCTCTCAGCACCATGTCTTTGTTCGTGGTCTGACTCCTGTCCTAGAACGTCTTCAGGAGAGTAGGGATGTCTGTTGTCCTTGCCGCTGTCTCCCCAGCACTGTTTTGTTGAGTGGGGCAGCGGAGAGTCCTGGGGAGGGGAAACCACGTGACCTCAAATCAAATGGATCTCTTTGGCCCGAGTGGGGAGCTGAGTTTAGAAGGGACCCGAGAGGAAGCCGGAGGCTGGTTAGCGACTCCCCTGCAGCCCTCCAGGCGGTGAGCACAGACAGGGTTAGACGGACGATGCTGCTTGTAAGTAAGCCCTGGAGGAGGGTGGGGGGCATCTGTTAAGAAACAGGATGAAGTGTGGCATCTTGAAACCAGGACCACAAACCCATGGCTGGCTCAGGACCTGCCCACCCAACTCCCTGGCCCTCGTGGGGTAGACCTCAGGCTCCCACTTCTCAGGACTCCCCAGTGGTTCTGCCTCAAGCATCATGTGAGAGAAATCGGGCCATGACTAGGGAAGGCTCCTGAATTTCCGCCGGGGAAGGGTAGAGGGAAGGGAGGTCGTGCCAGCAGATGCCCAGTTTCGCAGCATTTTCCTGGACACTGGAAATGAGGCAGTGGGGTGTCCTGGAAGGCAGTCCAAGGATTTGGTGTCCCGAAGTCTGGGTTCAAATCCCAGTGCTTCCTTTTACCACTGAAAGGCTTTTTAGTTTGTGTGCGTTCGGCTGCAAGTAACAGTTTACGCTGATGAGTGATGGCGGAAACTGTCCTCTTATTTTTTTTAACACATTTTATAAAATGTACTTTTTGGGGAATTCCCTGGTGGTCCAGTGGTTAGGACTTGGAGCCTTCACTGCTGTGGCCCGTGTTCAATCCCTGGTCAGGGAACAAAGATCCTGCAAGCCTCAGGGCATGGCCAAAAAAAAAAAAACAAATTAAAAAAAAACTTTTGCTTTTTGGAATGTTTAGGACATTGGCTGAAAAACCAAAAACTATTTTTGAAAAATTTGCAGTGGAGTGTCTCCGTCCCATCTGCTGGGTCCCCCTCCTAGTTCATAAGTGGGTTTAGTGCTGTAGAGATCCTTCTGGAAGTTCTTTAGACCTAGAAAGGCATTTAGGATATATAGTCTTTTTTTTTTTTTTAAGTGGATATGTAGTTGATTTACTAGAATATATATTCTTGTATCTCCTCCCCACTGTCTTTAAGCAGATGGTAACGTTTTATACACACTTCTGCATTTTACTTTCCGCACAGAACAATAGTTGTGGAGAACTTTCTCTGTCAGTATATGGAGAACATCCTTGTTCCTTTTTTAAAAATAACATCTTTGGGGCTTCCCTGGTGGCGCAGTGGTTGAGAGTCCGCCTGCCGATGCAGGGGACACGGGTTCGTGCCCCGGTCCGGGAAGATCCCACATGCCGCGGAGCGGCTGGGCCCGTGAGCCATGCATGGCCGTTGAGCCTGCGCGTCCGGAGCCTGTGCTCTGCAACGGGAGAGGCCACAACAGTGAGAGGCTCGCGTACTGCAAAAAAATAAAAATAAAAATAACGTCTTTATTAACATATAATTCACATACCATGAAATTCACCTATCTAAACTATACAATTCAGCACTTTCTAGTATATTCACAGGTTATATATTCAAGATTATATGATGTGCAACCATCACCACTATCTAGTTTCAGAACATTTTTATCACCCCCCCCAAAAAAAAATTTTGTGTCCAAGAACAGCCACTTCAAATTCCTCTCTCTCCACAGCCTCTGGCAACCACTAATCTTTCTGTCTCTGTGGATTTGTCTATTCTGAACAGTTCATAAAATGGGATCATACAATATATGGTCCTTTGTGTCTGGCTTCTTCCACTCAGCATGATGCTTTCAAGGATCGTCCATGTTGTACTGTGGTATATCAGTACCTCATTCCTTTTGATGTCTGAGTAATATCCCACCGTACCGAGAGACCACGTTTTGTGGATCCATGCATCCATTGGTGGACATCTGGGTTATTTCAACCTTTTGGCTATTATGAGTAATGCTGCTGTGGACATTTGTGTACAAGTTTTTGTGTGAATGCATGTATTCATTTCTCTTGGGTATATATGTAGGAGTGAAATTGCTGGGTCACATGGTAACGGTGTTTAACTGTTTGGGGAGTTTCCCAGACTACTTTCCACTGAGGCCCCGCCATTTTCCATTCCCACCAGCAGTGTCTGAGGGTTCTGCTTTCTACACATCCTCACCAGCACTCATTATTGTCTGTCTTTTTGACTGTAGCCATCCTAGTGGGTGAAGCAGTCTCCACTTGTGGTTTTGATTTCATTTCCCTGGTGGCTAATGATGTTGAGCATCTCTTCATGGGCTTGTTGGCCATTTGTATTCTTTAAAAAAATTTTTTTAAAAATTTTACGTTGGAGTATAGTTGATTTGCAATGTTGTGTTAATTTCAGGTATACAGCAAAGTGACTCAGTTATAGATATACATATGTCTATTCTTTTTCAGGTTCTTTTCCCATATAGGTGGCCATTTGCATTCTTCATTCTTTTTTACAGCTGCGTAGTATTCCCATTTAGATGGACCCAGTTTATTTAACCTGTTTTCCACTGATGGCCAGTGGATTACTTCCAATATCTCGCTGGTAGACACACACCTTGCCCTAAAAACCTCCTAAATGTATAATTTTGGATATGTCAGGTTGTACCTGTAGGATCAGGCCCATGAGTGAAATCTCCGGGTAAAGGGAAACTAAATGTGCTATAATCTTGACCAGTTTTTCCCTGTACAGTTGATTCTCGTTCCCACATGCCATATTTGTGAATTCATCTACCTGCTAAAATTTCTTTGTAACCCCCAGATCAGCACACCGGGTGCTTTCCCAGTCATTTACAGACATGTGCCGAGCAAGTGAAAAATTTGAGTTGTCCTGTGTGCCTGTTCCCAGCTGAGATCGACCAGGGCGACCCTCTGTCTTCTTGTTTCAGCTCTTACACTGTAGCCAAGTGGCTTTTTCTTGGTCTGTTTAGTGCCATGTTTTTCACATTTTGGGGCTTTTTGTTGCTGATTTAGCTGTTTAAAATGCCCCCCAAACATTGTGCTGAAGTGTTGGCTAGTGTTCCGAAGCTCCAGAAGGCTGTGATGTGTCTCAGATGAGCTTCGTTCAGGTGTGAGTTACAGCGCCGTTGGTTATGGGTTCGCTGCGAATGAATCAGCCGTATATATTAAATCAGGTGTCTTTAAACAGAAACACACGTTAAAAACAAGGTTATGTATTGATCGGTTGATGAAAATGTTGGGACCAGAGGCTCATGAGAAGCTGTATTTCCCCCAGGAGCAATAGTTCCGTATTCTCTAATTCAGTGTTTGTGGCAACTTTGTAGAACATAACTACCACGAATCACAAGAATCGGTTGTGTAGGGTTTTTTTGTTTTTTGTTTTTTTAAGCTGTGCTTTACCGGGATACAAATTAAGTATAATAAAAGGCACAAACCTTAAGTGCGCTGCTTGATGAATTTTGGCAAATATTACCTATGTAACCATCACCCAGATCTAGCTACAGACCATTTCCATCATCACAGAAGATTTCCTCGTGGACCTTCCTAGTCAGTACTTAGCCCTCTCCCCCTCCTGCTGCCCCCTTAAGGCAATCACACCTCCGATTTTTTTCCCCATCAGTTTCACTAGAACTTTACTTCAAGGGGATCGCACAGTGAATGGTCTTCTGTGTCTGGCTTCCTTTCCTCAGCATGGTGGATTTGAGATTCATCCATGACCTTGCCTGTATCAGTCGTTTATTCCCTTTCATTATTAAGCTGTATTCAAGCACGTGGATATAACGTAGTTTGTTTCTCTATCTACCAGTCGATGGACACTGTGCTGTTTCCAATTTGGGGCTTTTGTGAATAATGCTGCTATGAAAATTTCTGTACAAATGTTTCTGTAGACATACTTTTCACATCCGTTAAGTCAATACCTTGGAGTGGAATTTCTGGGTCATAGAGTAGGTATATGTTTAACCGTAGTTAATTCAGGCTTTTAGTTCTCTTCTGGAACAAAACATCTAGTTGAAGGCCATTCCAGGGATATTTGGCAGCTCAGTGTTTCTAGGACGCTGGGTCTGTCTCTGATCCACTGAGCCTTCCCCCTCAGGAGTGCAAAACGGCTGCTGTAGCACTGGCCATTGTCACCATGCTTCACATCATTCTCTCGAGCAGGAAAGAGTAGGGGCAAATAATCTTCCCAATGTAAGGCTCTGTCTTTTTTATCCAAATGTAAAAACCTTCCCGTGTCCACACTTGGCTGCAAAGGAGGCTGAGAAAGGAAGTTTCTGGCAAAGGGGCAAAAGGCCTATACTCACCGTGAGTCATCCTCTTAGGAGGGTACATTCTGAATGGAACCAAATCCAAGTTCTGTTTAAAAGGATATCAGACTGAGACTGGATGTTGGACCCTCCTGAGCCTCGGAGAGGACCCTGTGAGGCCACATTGTCAGGGGCCTGGACACTGGCTGGGAACTGGTGGCTTGTGTTCTATACAAGAGCAAGAGCCCCAGAAGGAAAACTAAAGAGACAAAAGCTTCTAGAGCAGTGGTCCTTGGACCAGAAGCATCAGCATCACCTGGGAACTTGTTAGAAATGCAAATTTTCAGCACCCCCGCCCCCCCCCCCCAGCCGCCCCTGCCCCCAACCTGCTGATTCTGAAATCCATTCTTTTCATTCTTTATTTTAAAAGCCTTCCAGGTGATTCTGCCTGCCCATGTTTAGGAACAAGTGGTCTAAAGCATGTGTGGAATGTTGTAGGGGCTTTTCTTTCCCGTTCACTTCTCTTAACTCCATTTTTTCCTGAACTTGAAGTGTTCTCTTTTGCTTGATGCCCTGGGCAGCCCTGTGTCCGGTCAGTGTAATCCCTGCTTTTGTTCCCTTCACCCCACCCCGTTACCTGTTTCACTCCTCAGAATTTCCCCCTGTTTTTTATACACTAGTATTAAGAAAAAATTCAAAAACCTTTTCAGATGCCTGATTTTCTTGGCAAGTCTGTGGCTTTATAGCTTCACTTAGGAGAGCGGCGAATGGCAAAAAGGGAAAAGAGAGAACATACCAGACATTTCTAGTGTGTGACTACCTGTGTAAATAAGGCTTTTAGGAGCTAGACACCAGTTGCTTTATGAGCAATCCAGGTTTTATAGGGCACGCTTTTATGTTGTTAAACTAATTCAGTGATTTTAGAACTCTAAAGGTCACTGAACATAAAGGTGGTGTCGATTTTAATTGCTCTCCAAATAGCTCTTTCTTTCTCTCTCCCCAAAAGTCTGGCTGGATGGATAGATGAAAAGAGAGATGGTGAGGCCTGGATCTGGGCAGGAATAGTGGTCATGGAGAGGAGGAGATAAAGTGGAGAGATTTGGGAGGTGGAATGGGTAAGACTTGGGTGAGGGACTTCCCTGGTGGCACAGTGGTTAAGAATCCACCTGCCAATGCAGGGAACATGGGTTCAATCCCTGGTCCGGGAAGATCCCACATGCTGCGGAGCAGCTAAACCCGTGCACCACAACTAATGAGCCTGCGCTCTACAGCCCGTGAGCCACAACTCCTGAGCCCGCGTGCCACAACTACTGAAGCCTGTGCACCTAGAGCCCGTGCCCCGCAACAAGAGAAGCCACCTCAGTGAGAAGCACGTGCACCACAACGAAGAATAGCCCCTGTCGCTGCAACTAGAGAAAGTCTGCATGCAGCAATGAAGACCCAATGCAGCCAAAAATAAATGAATTAATTTAAAAAAAAAAGAAAGTTGGGTGAGTCAGAGGTGTGAGGTCAAAGTTGGTACTTAGTCTCTAGAGAGGGCTGTATCAGCTAGCTGCTGCCACATAACAAATAACCCCCAACTTTAGAGGCTGTTCTGGTTACTGTTGCTGTTTAACAAATTACCCCAAAATGTAGCAGCTTAATGGAACAATTGTATTATGCTCACAGGTTTTATGGGCCAAGAATTTGACATGGAATTTGACACAGTGGGTCTCTGCTCCATGATGTCTGCGGTCTTGGCTGGGAAGATTCGCAGGCTGGGGGCTGAGGGCTTGTTCATATGCCATGCATGGCACCTGGGCTGGGATGACTTGAAGATAAGACCATCAACCAGAGCATCTACTCATGGTCTCTCCATGTCTAGCTTAGGCTTCACCATAGCATGGTGGCCTCAGAGCGGTCAGAATTCTATTAAGGCGGCTTAGGGCTTCTAGGGTAAATGTCCTGGTGGACATGGCAGAAACTGAATTGACTTTTATGACCTAGCTTCAGAAGTCACATGGTGGCACTTCTGTTGCACTGTCCTAGTTGAATTAGTCACAAATTTTCCTCAATTCAAGAGGACTGGCAA